TGACAGGACAAGGGGCAATGGGCACAAACTGAGGCACAGGAAGTTCCGTCTGAACGTGAGGAAGAACTTCTTCCCTCTGAGTGTGACGGAGCACTGGCCCAGGCTGCCCAGGGAGGTTGTGGAGTCTCCTTCTCTGGAGATATTCCAGACCCACCTGGACAAGATCCTGTGCAGCCTGCTGTGGGTGACCCTGCTTCGGCAGGAGGGGTGGACTAGATGACCCACAGAGGTCCCTTCCAACCCCTACTATTCTGTGATTCTGTGATTCTGTGATGTATGGAGCTCTTCAGTGGGGCAATAAATGGCTGACCGGGTTCCCGTGCAGTAACCAGCGCCGATGGGTGCAGAAGATCACGCCTAGAACTGCCTGCACCCGATGCAAAACAGCTGCAGCGGCTCTTCGTTGTGCTTAGGAGCCATTTCCAGCTAGTCCTCTTGGCTTTGAAATCCTCGTACGCTTTGGCTTTCTGTTGTGAGGAGGTGGCAGGATGCTTGCGCGGCGTTGGGACGTGGTCCCCAGGGCGCAGGAGCACCCGTCCCAGGTGAGACCCGTCCCCGCTGCAGCTCCAGCCTCCTGGAGATCCCGCTCTGCAGCTCCCTGGGGGCTGCTGCGGTCTCACGTTTCGCCCAAAAGCTTGGCTTTTCTTTGGTGCACTCGGTTTGTACCTTTTCTTTCGGTCTTACTGTGTCTGATGAGCTCATGGTATTTCTGAGTAAGTTAGAAATTGTAGCAGTTGTAGTAATTAAGTAAATAGAAATTATTTCCGAGTAGGAAATGGCGTTTCACCTAAAGGCATGACCTGGTCTGTGTGTGCTTTGTGCCTGGCGTCTGAATGCGACTCCCGCAGCGGCCTCCGCGTGCACACCCGTGTCTGTGGATATCTGCAGGGCACAGATCTGTGTTTTTGTTAATTTGGGAGTAAAACGTTAATCTCAGAAACGAAGGGCAGAGGTGCAGCTGTAGGGTTGAGAAGATATTTTGCCCTAAACAGATAATTTTTTCTTAAGCATCCTCAGCTTTCAGTCCCAGCCAGAGCGCAGCGGCATTTTGCGTCGGCTCTCGGTGGCCATGGAGAGTGACCTGGTTCCAGACACCCGCAGTGTCCAGCGATGCGGAAATGCCTTGGTGCGGGGTCACCACAGCCCCCATGGTGCTGGGAGCGTGGAGGGCTTGGGGCAGCTCGGATCGATCCCGCGGGAAGGGCTGGTGGGACCATGGAGAGTGACCTGGTTCCAGACACCCGCAGTGTCCAGCGATGCGGAAATGCCTTGGTGCGGGGTCACCACAGCCCCCATGGTGCTGGGAGCGTGGAGGGCTTGGGGCAGCTCGGATCGATCCCGCGGGAAGGGCTGGTGGGAGCTGTGGGACCCCCAGCCCGGCTCGTGCCGTGCCACAGCTAGACCCCTCGCTGGGAACCGTCGCCCAGCCCAACCCCCTGCCCAAGCAGGGTCACCCACAGCAGGCTGCACAGCACCGCGTCCAGGCGGGGCTGGAATATCTCCAGAGAAGGAGACTCCACAGCCCCTCTGGGCAACCTGGGCCAGGGCTCCATCACC